CACACACACACACACACACACACACACACACACACACACACACACACTCTTTTGCTTGTTTCACTAAAGGCATACTTCAGTGCATTAATAAGGAATTACAAAAATGCACTTTTATTATCACTTTGATTTTCTTACCTGTCTCATATGAAATATCAGCGTGCAGTGATCTGTTCTGATGTTATCGCTGACTAGTGAACTTGTTCTTAGTGGAAGAGTATTTGTCTTCCACTACATAGTCTGTCTGCTATACACTTAACCCTGGGTTCCGAGTACCATCAACACTAAAAGCTACCCTCAACATACCCTCTCAACATCTCAAATTAGGAAGCCTTGTTCTTGGATTGCATGCTATCTCTGATATTTAAAGTTGGTTAGATAACTGAAACAATTGAGAAACTGCATTCAAAGACTAGTAGACTATTATTAAATGTGTGTGTGTGTGTGTGTGTGTGTGTGTGTGTGTGTGTGTGTGTGTATGGTAGGGTATGGGCATATGCAGGTACGTGTATGCATAAAGGACAAGGAAGGATGTCCAGCATTCCACTATCTATCATCTCTGATTTATTCCTTTGAAACAAGGTCTCTCACTGAACTCGGAGCTATCTTGCTGTGGCCGTTCCCCACAGTGCTGGGCTCCCAGGTGCATGCAGCCACACTTAGCTTTTGATGTGAGTACTAGGGATTTGAACTTGAACTCAGGACCTCATGCTTATCAAGTAACTACTCTTACCTGCTGAGCACCACCCAGCCCCAAATATGTGGTCTTCAATAATCATTAATATTCATGATTCTTAAATTTCTACATCTACAGACTGTAAATAATAATCAAATTAGAACAAAGTAGTAATCAAAGTAAAACTGGGTTGAGATTAAGACTGAAAATGCAGCCCTAACATAAGCACAATATAATAATAAATTTAAAATGTTACAAAAAAAGATATTCTTACTTGATTTTGGAAAGCTTCTGTAGGATAATACTGAGCTTTTCTAGGATGTGAAGATCAAGTTTAGGGGTCCGGAGCAGCACAGAACAAGTACGAAAAAATAAAGAGCTGCTGCAGGCTTCCAAGAAAGGCTGCAGGGCCTCTGAAAAACAAGTCACCAAACTTTACTGGTAAGAAGTATACAAAAGAAATTTAAAAAGCAAAGCCAGAACTGTGTGAGGCATGCCTCCATATTGGCTTGGACTTTCATTCTTTCATCCTTAAACTTACAGCGAAAATTATCATTTGAAAAGTGAAAACAGCCACTGGCTCTTTTTTTTTTAATTTTTTTTTAATATTAGTTACAGTTTATTAACTTTGTATCCCAGCTGTATCCCCCCCCCCCCAACTCCTCCCTGCCCCTTTCCAAGTACACTGATAGGGGAGGATCTCCTCCCCTTTCATCTGACCCTGGTTTATCAGGTATCTTCAGGACTGGCTGCAAAGTCCTCCTCTGTGGCCTAGCAGGGCTGCTCCTCCCTCGGGGGGGGGGGGGAGGGGAGGTCAAAGAGCCAGCCATTGAGTTCATGTGGATCATCCTGAGTGAGGTATCCCAAAAGCAGAAAGACACACATGGTATATACTCACTTATATAGACCTATAAGATAGGATAAACATACTGAAATCTATACACCTAAAGAAGATAAATAAGAAAGAGGACCCGGGGTAAGATGATCAATCCTCACTTAGAAAGACAAATGGGATAGACATTGGGTGTAGGAGAAAACAAGTAACAGGACAGGAGCCTACCACAGAGGGCCTCTGAAAGATTCTACCTAGCAGTGTATCAAAGCAGATGCTGAGACTCATAACCAAATCTTCGGCAGAGTGCAGGGAATCATATGAAAGAAGGGGGAGTTAATATGACCTGGAGAGGACAGGAGCTCCACAGGGACTAAATATATCTGGGCACAGGGGTCTTTTATGAGACTGTTTCTTCAACCAAGGACCATGTATGGATATAACCTAGAACCTCTGCTCAGATGTAGCCCATTGCGGCTCAGTATCCAAGTGGGTACCCTAGTAAGGGGAACAGGGACTATTTCTGACAGCCACTGGCTCTTGCTGAGCATCACAGGAGCAGGTCATTATCTAATGCAAAGCATGTTTGAAGAAAAGGGGAAAGGAGCTTCTTCAATAAACATCTAATTGGAAGTCCAGTCGGGGTGATTGTAAGTAAGAAATTCTGTTAAAGTGGTAAATTATTTTTCTCTAAAACCCCAGTAACGATTCTGAGTATTAGACAGGAAAAAAACATTTTGAGCATAAAGAGCTAAAAACATGAAAGATTCATAACAGATTAAAAACCTAAGAATAAAAATCATCATGCAAGAGGGGACAGAAACTTGAGGATCAAGGAGTCTGCTATGGGATTGTGCTTCCTAGGATGTCAGAAGCTCAACCATGAAGGCTCACCAACATGACTGCTTACAGTTTTTGCTTACAGCAAAGACAGCAGATATGCCAAAGTGGATGGGGAAAAGCTCATGAGATCTCACTCCTACATGAAGAACTACAGGAAACTAAGAATGCTGAGGGTGGGGGAGTCTCTCCAGGGAAGAGCACACCAACTGGTTACCCTGTACCAAATGGTCAGCCTTGAAAACATGTACACATGTAACATTACACAGTCTGAGCCGCTTACATTCCTGTATTTAGGTGTGTGTGTTTTTATTTGCACACACGTGCGTAACAACAATTAATGGAAAAAAAGGCATTGAATTTGGAAGAGAACAAAGAAGCACACACAGAAAGGTTTGAAGAGAGAAAAGGGTAGGGGCATGATATAATTATACTCTCAAAACATAATAAAATCTTTTAAAAATTTAAGTTTTCACATAAAGATGAATTTATTTGAAAAATTAAAAGTGAAATTGAAAATATTGTTCTCCTTGTGGAGTTCCTGTCCTCTCCAGATCTTACTGTTTCCCACTTCTTTTGTAAGATTCCCTGCACTCTGCCCAAAGGTTGCCCATAAGTCTCAGCATCTGCATTGATAGTTTGCAGGGCAGAGCCTTTCAGAGGTTCTCTGTGGCAGGTTCCGGTATTGTTCCCTCTTTTTTCCTTCTTCTGATGTCCATCCTCTTTGCCTTTCTGGATAGGGATTGAGCATTTTATCAAGAGTCCTCCCTCTTGATTAGTTTCTTTAGGTGTACAGATTTTAGTAGGTTTATCCTATATTATATGTCTATATGAGTGAGTATATGCCATGTGCATCTTTCTGCTTCTGGGATAGCTCACTCAGGATGATTTTTTCCAGATCCCACCATTTACCTGCAAATTCCATGATTTCCTTGTTTTTTATTGCTGAGTAATATCTCATTGTGTAGGTGTACCACAGTTTCTGTATCCATTCCTCCACTGAGGGGCATCTGGGCTGTTCAACAGGACCAAAAAATCTGAGCACATGGGTTTTTCCTGAGACTGATACTCCAACCAAGGACCATGCATGGAGATAACCTAAGACCCCTGCACAGATGTAGCCCATGCCAGTTCAGTATCCAAATGGGTTCCATTGTAATAGGAACAGGGACTGTCTCTGACATGAACTGATTGGCCTGCTCTTTAATTACCTCCCCCTGAGGGGGAAGCAGCCTTACCAGGCCACAGAAGACAATGCAGCCACTCCTAATGAGACCTAATTGACTAGGATCAGAAGGAAGGAAAAGAAGACCTTCCCCATCAGTGGACTTGGGGAGGGGCATGTATGCAGAGGGTTGAGGAAGGGAAGGATTGGGATGGGAGGAGGTAGGGAACCACAGGGGGGATACAAAGTGAATAAAGTGTAATTAATAAAGAATTAAAAAATAATAAATAAATAAAATAAAAAAGAAAATATTATAATAGCCAAAACAAGAGAGAAATGACTAACATAGAAAAGAGGAAAGCAGAGATGACTTTGCATATATTTGCCATAAAACTGATACCATTACTATGAGTTCTTATAAATAATTAGAAAAGATGTACCTAGTATTTTTATTAATGAGCACAACTAACGCAACTATAAGAGAACACAATATATTCAATCTCATTAAGAATAAAATAATAAGCCAGAAAGTGGTGGTGCATATTTTTAACCACAGAACTTGGGAGGCAGAAGCAGGTCTCCCATCTGTGAGATGAAGCCAGCCTGGAGTGAAGGACAGCCAGGGCTACACAGAGAAACCCTGTCTCAAAAAACAAACAAACAAACAAACAAACAAAAATAAAGAAATCTTCCAAATTTGTTACCAAAAGCCTTAAATGCAAAAATCCTTTTACTTAGAAACTGTGCCTTGAGGCTGGAGAGATGACTCAGAGGTCAAGAGCACTGATGTTTTTCCAGAGGATCTGGGTTCAATTCCCAGCATCCACATGTCAGCTCACAACTGTCTGTTTACTCCCAGATCTGACACTCTCACACAGACACACTTGCAAGCAAAACACCAAGGCACATAAGGTAAAAATAAATTATTTTTTAAAAAAGAAAGAAACTGTGCCTTTAAGAAGCATCCAGTAGAGATGCCTGCAAAGGTAAGAAGCCCTATTTCATTCATCGTGTTTATTACAAGATAATAGGTGAAGATACTTTGAAAGCGTAAGTCACTGGTACTAGCTTGTTAGGGGAGGATGAAAATAACAACAAAAATCACACAATTTTGGCCTTTAAAGCATTTCATTCTTTAGTAAAAAACCTCTGCAAAAGGCTTTTTTAAAATAAATGCAAGAAAGTTACTTCCCATAAAAGATATAAAACCATGATAGCTTTGCATTCACCTTGCATTTTAATTGTAAAAACACAACTTGGAAGGCTTGAATGTTGCCATCGTGAGACTGTATGGTTTTCTTTTCTTCCACCTATTTATTTAATCACTTTACAGGCTAATTAGCCCCCTCCCAAGACTCTACTGTTTGCTTGTTTATCGATTTTTTTGAAACAGGGTTTCTCTGTAGCCTTGACTGCCCTGGACTCGCTTTGTATTGTTTAAGATAAACTACTGAAGCAACAAAATCTAAAACCATAAGTAAAGCCAGGGAAACAGAAATTAGCTGGTAGAAAAAGAAGAGGGGTTATCTATGTAAGCACTAGAGAACGAGATCTGTGTAGCTATTTCCTCTAAATAGAAACACTCCCTTTGGAGGGAGGCAAGAAACGCATGAGCTACCTCCTCTAAAAGGAGCTCACAAGCATACGAGATCCACAAGGTCCCTTCCTAAAGTTACACAAGCAGTCACTTTGTTCTTCATGGAGCTGTTGCAAAGTTGTGTATTAAGCTCCATGGATACAACCCATACTAGGATGGGCTTTCCAGTTCATTGTGCCATCTATACTTCTATAAATCACCCCATAGCCATGCTTTATGAACCATAGCTAAACAGGACATAGGCTTTAGGGAAGACTTTACTACTATGATTTTTGCTAAATAGACAGCGTTCAACTCCTAATGATTTATCATAACCCTTTTGTTGTTGTTGTTGTTGTTTTAGCTTTTCTTTGTGTAGCCCTGGATATCTGGAACTCGCTCTGTAGACCAGGCCTGCCTCTGCCTCCTGAGTGCTGGGATTAAAGGTACAGAAAATAAGAGACTACAGAATGCTCAGCCCTAAGTGGAACACATAGAGCACTCCTCCTCTCAAGACTCAGGGATCACTGAGGAAGAGGGGAAGGAACAGTCTAAGTGCCAGAGGCAGTGGGTGATTAAAAGGAAACAGTGTCCTCTGGACACATCAGGCAGTTGCACATATTAACTCATGGTGTTTGTGACAAGATTCACAAGAACTGTACAAGCCCAAACCAGACCAAATCCCAGCATGAAGCAGGGAGTTGGACATAAAATCCTACCCTTAGCCAGGGGACTAGCTATTGGCGACTTTTAGCTGCTGAGAGCCAGTTTCCTCTAAGAATGTAACCTCAGGTAAGTCAAGCTTGCTCCAGTGGAAGACCACACATTCAAGAATAGCTGTGCAGCACCAACTGATGGTAGAAAAAAACAAACAAATTGGGGTAGATAGGAAAGAGAGGGTGGGTCTGAAATAAACTGGGGGAGGGAAGCAAATATGATCACAGCACAAAACACATTGTACAAAATTCTCAAAAAACTAGTAAAAAGAAAAGCTGAAACTTATAAATGAAAACACAGGGTATACTGTTCAATACATTGAGATGGGCAAGAACTTTCTGGATAGAACTTCAATAGCACAAAAACTACCCCAAAAATCAACAGATAGGATTACATGAAAGTTAAGTTTCTATACAGCTGAAGGAAACTATACCAATATAGCCCACAGAATGGCAGAAAACCTTTAACATCTGCACTTCAGACAACAGGCAAAAAGAAAGAAAAGAAAAGAGAGAGAGAGAAAGAAAGAGAGAAAGGGTGAAAGAAAGAGAGAGAAAGAAAGAAAGAGAGAAAGAAAGAGAAAGAAAGAAAAAGAGAGAGAGAAAGGAGAGAAAGAGAAAGAAAGTGAGAAAGAAAGAAGGAAAGAAGAAAGAAAGAAAGACAGAAAGAAAGAAAGAAAGAAAGAATTAATTTACAAAGAACTGCAAAAATAGGAAATAAACCTGCAACTCAACAAATAGGATAATTCAAAGAATTTAAAATACAGCAAGTTAAAAGAAAGAAGAGAGAAAAGAAAAAGAAAGAAAGAAAGAAAGAAAGAAAGAAAGAAAGAAAGAAAGAAGAAATAGCCAATAACCATTAAAAATTGTTCACCATCCTTAGTCATCAGGGAAATGTTTTGAGATAATGACTCAGTGCAGTCAGAGTGGCTGTCAGCAAGAAATCTGAGAACAAATATTAGAGAAGATGTGGAGAAAGAAGAACCTTCATTCACTGCTGGCAGGATACAACCATGATGGAAATCAGCTTGGAAGATCCTCAGCAAACTGGAAACAAAACTAGCATATGAAACAGCTACTGTACTCCTGGGCATACACAGAGAACTCTTTATCCTACTGCAGAGATATCTGCATCTCCATTTTCACTGCCTCTCTATTCAATACAGCAGGGAGATGGAAGACATCCTTGGCATCCTTCAAGAAGTCAATGAACAATGGGCAGAGTGCATGGAATCTTATGTAAGAAGTGGAAAATAGTAAGATCTGGAGAGGACAGGAACCCCACAAGGAGAGCAACAGAACCAGAAAATTTGAACACAGGGGTCTTCCCAGAGACTTATACTCCAACCAAGTACCAGGCATGGAGATAACCTAGAAGCCCTGCACAGATGTAGCCCATGGCAGTTTAGTGTCCAAGTGGGTTACATAGTAATGGGAAGAGGGCCTGCCTCTGACATAATCTGATTAGCCTGCTCTTTGATCACCTCCCTCTGAGGGGGGAACAGCCTTACCAGGCCACAGAAGATGACAATGCAGCCACTCCTGATGTGATCTGATAGACTAAGAGCAGAAGGAAGGAGAGGAGGACCTCCCTTATCAGTGGACTTGGGGAGGGGCATTCGTGAAGAAGGGGGAGGGAAGGGGGATTAGGAGGGGAGGAGGGTGAGGTTTATGGGGGGATACAAAGTGAATAAAGTATAATTAATAAAATAAAATTAAAAAAACAAATAAAAGGAAATAAAATTAAAAAAATTTTGACACATATATATAATTGAGTATTATTCAGCCCCAAAGAAAAACAAAAATAGAAAAATTTCAGGAAAATGGATGAACTTATAATGCATAATATTAAGCAAGTTCATCCACTCTCCGGGAAAAAAAACATACACACACACACACACACACACACACACACACACACACACACTCCCCCACATGTGAACGCTAACCCATAATGTTTACAATGTATATATAAAAGCAAATATACATGTGAGTATAACATTTAGGAAGGGGAACAATAAAGGGTAACAAAAAGAAAAATATATGAATGAGTTCACATATGTATTATATGCAAGGAGGCCCTCTGAGTGCTCTCTCGAGACAATAACAGTTTCAGCACAGAGCACATGCCTCAGTGGGCACTGGCCATCTGTGTTTCCATGAGAAGCTGTTACCTGACTGGTAGACAGGAATTTTAAATTATGGTTTTCATCATTTAAATAATACTGTAGGATGCAGTTCTTTGTAAATACTATTCAATTTAGTATATTCTTTACATGAATTGTAGCTATCCAATTAACACAGAGTGAAGCAGGTGTGTTTAAAGTCATCACAATTTTAAAGTTTCCGATAATTCTTGAGATACTGATATATTGCTTCTGAATCTCAAAGAGCAACCAGGAATTTGAAAACACTGAGAATCCACTTGTGCAGCCACTGTGGAAATCAGTGTGGAGATCCCCCCAAAAAAACCTGAAAATAGTTCCACACTATCACCCATTTACACTAAGTCAGCACACCACAAAAACCTTTGTGCACCCACATTTAGATCTGCAGTATTCACAATAGCTGAGGAAGTGTAAGCAATTCTTGATATCCATCAATGTGAGGAATTTTATGCAGCATCAAAAAAAATCATGACTGGGGAGGGAATGAGGGAGCGGGATACAGCTGGGACACAGAGTTAACAAAATGTAACTAAAAAGAAAAAAAAAAAAAAAGAAAGATAAAAAAAAATCATGATATTTTCAGAAAACAGATGTAAATGGAATCATGTTAAATCAGATAAGCCAGACTCAGAGACAAATATCACATCATTTCTAATACACATATATATTATATACATATATGTTTATATACATATATAAACCTATGTAGTTATATCCATATGTTTGTATTCACTTACTAGAAAATGAGTCATAAGAGGGGAGGAAGAGATCATAAGGGATGTGGAAAATAGGAATAACAACAGAAGACATGTAATAAGAAAGTACAAAGAGGACAAACTGGAGGGATACCAGGAGTCACCTGGAGGAAGGACAGAGAGGAGGGCAGGGAGGGGAGGGCACACAGCAACAAAGTATGACATATATGTATCAAGATGCCACAGTCTCATGCTGTGTGCTGACCTGAATAGTAACTTTTAACAATAGTCACCACTTAAAAGCTGAAGTCCTGGTATGTGGGGTTAACCCATTCTGACTAGGAGATGAAAGCACCATTTCTTTACATACATAAAACATATAAACTTACTCGAGTCTACCGTCATCTGAAGCAAACTGTCAATGACATTGGATAACAGTCCTTTACTGGATATTCTCAGGTGTTTTAGTATTACTGGAACAGCTTGGTACTCCAAAAACAAGGTTTTCCCTTCATCAGTCTTCAAGTCCAAACAAAGGGAATCAAATGCTTGAGCTAGGTAGTCCGCTAGAAACAACATAAACAACCGTCTATCATTGGTTATTCAATCAGAAACAGGTTAAAAAAAAGAACCACTGTTTTAATAAAAATATAAATACAAAAAAATTAAATGACAAGAGATCACAAACTAAATTTGGATTCATATTCTTTACTGGTTTATTAGAACCTAATAGAGAGAGAAATGGCAGTCCAATTACAAAGGGTTAAATTCATTTAGCATGTTCATATTTATGCTTCCACTGATTTAAACAGTACCAGTGTATCTTTGAAATAGCTTCTAAGATCGTATGTCTTACCGCTGGCTTCTAAATGCCTCCCCATTTAAAACTGTAACTATACACCAACTTGCTCAACACATTTTAGACAAGGATTTCTGTCTCCTAAAGAGCAAATATCACGCCATTCAAAAAACAACTTCAAAAAGACTAGGCTATGCTCTGGTCCACTACCCTCTATAACCCATCCATCATTATAAACGACAGCAAGGTTTTACCAAGACCACCACTGGAATGGCACTTTGAGATCAGATTCCTTAAATTTCCCTTTAAAATGTTCCACCTGTGACTGGCAAGCCATTAAATCACAAGAAGCGCTATTTTTTTAAAAATTTTCTTTTCTTTTTATTTATTACAGTTTATTCAGTTTGTATCCCCCCTGTACCTCCCCTCCCAATCCCACACTCCCTCTTCCCCACCCATGTCCCTCTCCCAGTCCACTGATAAGGGAGGTCCTTCTCCCCTTCCCTCTGATCCTAGTCTATCAGGTCTCATCAGGAGTGGCTGCATTGTCTTCTGTGGCCTGGTAAGGCTGCTCCCCCATCAGGGGCAGGTGATCAAAGAGCAGGCCAATCAGTTCCTGTCAGAGATAGTCCCTGTCCCCATTACTATGGAGGCCACTTGGATACTGAACTGCCATAGGCTACCTCTGTGCAGGGGTTCCAGGCCATCTCCATGAGTGGTCCTTGGTTGGAGTATCAGTCTCAGAAAAGACCCTGTGTCCAGACTTTTTGGACCTGTTGCTCTCCCAGTCTTACTATCTCCCACTTCTAAGAAGCATTAATTTAATTAGAATCAATGCAAAAAAAAAAAAAATCAGAGATTTGTATCATTACACTTTGATTCTGCAGATACCCCCATTATTACCTTTATAATTTTAACATTTTTAAATGTGTAAATTCATTTTCCAAAACATTCTTTCAGTATATGATTCCAAGAAATTTTTAAAACTTCATGCTGTTCACATTACATTAACTTTTTATTTTTTTTTAGTTAATATTTCTTTTTAAAGGAGAAGGCTTAACAAACAGGGTGGCATAAGCGCTCCATAAAGCATGCAGAGGCTGGTAGATCTCTTTGAGTTCCAGGCCAGCCAGGGCGACACAGACAGGACCTGTCTTAAAAAAAGAAAAGAAAACAAAAACAAGCTTCGAAGCCGTAAGTACTAAACTGAATGCCTAGTGGCGCCAGGCATGAGATGCCACTCTGTGAGCTGTTGGCTGTGGGGTGGGGAGCTGGGGATCACATGCGGCCATTGCTCTTATCTGTCTCTCAGAACTAGATGTTAAGAAACTTTGGTTGCAGAGCATGGAGAGCTCAAGCTGTCCCTAGGCTGCTTCCTTGCTGGCTTTCTCATTCCTGGAGGATGCCACTCAGGCTGCTGGAGAAAAAGGCCAGTATAATAGTCTTATGCAGCTGTGACCCTTACAAACTACAATAGCAACCTGCTGGGCAAGCTGTGCCCACTGGAGCAATGATGCATGACCGTTATGCTCTGGGGAAGTACCTCAGTTCAGTTCCTAGCTCCCATGTTGGATGACTCACAACCTCCTTTCAACTCCAGTCCCATGGGAACCAACACCTCTGCTCTCACATGCACACACATCACACAGGCACATACACAAAATTAGAAATAATAAAAAATAATTCTTTAAAACATGTATGAAAGAAATTTTGAGAAATTCTAATCTGTATCCATTATGGTATGCTATTTTTATTTCTAGAAGCATTTTAGTTCAAAGAAAACCAATACTACTTAATTTTTTTTTCACTTAAAAATAAACTCTGTGAACAAATGCATATTAAGAAAAATTACTAGGTTCTGTTCAGATTTCTCTGGCTCTCAACTTCATTTGTGCATATTGGCTTGTTCCTGTGCATGCGGAGGACAGACACTCATGTTAGGTGTCTCTTTCCTTATTTTTGAAGTCATTTTCCCTTTCCCATTCCTCCCTCCATCTCCTCATATGTACATCCATACTCTCAAATTCATGGCCTCTATTCTCTTGTTTTGAGCCACGGTCTCTTCGCTGAACTTGAATCTCAACATTTTGGATAGACAGGCTGGCCAGTGAGTGAGCCCAAGCAATGCTCCTGTCTGCAGCCCTCAGTACTAGAAGCAGAGACACACACTGCTGTGCTCAGGTTTTGTAGGGATGTTAGGGACCTAAACTCAGGTCTTCATACTTGCCCAGCAGATACTTCAGCCACCAAGCAACAGTACAGATAAGCAAAGGCTGACCTCCTCACAGGAACAAGTTTTGCAGCAGTGCCCCCTACTGTATTTGAAATTACCTGCGACAGCTAACATGATCAAGTGGACTATCACAGGGCTATTTGCTGAGAAAGATTCTTACTGTACAGCTACCTCTGCCTAGTCCGGAACATCATATCTAGATCAGGCTAGCCTTAAATTTGCCTTAGTTCTCTTGCCTTGGCTTACCTAGAGCTAATTACACATGTTCATCACTGAGTCCAGCCTGGGTGAGTTGATACCCCTTGGGGAAAGGGGGGAGTGGAGAGAGGGGGCATGAGGGGGAGCCCAGGAAGAAAAGAGGGAGGGGGCTGAGATCAGGCTGTAAAGAGATTAAATTAATAAATAAATAGAAAATAGAAAAAAAGAAAAGGGAGTGCTGCTGACAGCCTCCAACCCTTGCTTAATCTGGTGGCCTGGCCAAAGCATCTAGAAATGATGCCATGTGGACAAGCACTCAGCATCGTGTGCTCGTGAGTCTTCTGGAAGAAGACCCAGAATAGATCCCATGATGAGAAGCCAGTGGACAGCAAGGACGATCAGTCCAGAAAATACAGGTAGCTAAGCCCAGGCCAAATTTCTAATACAAGGCTCTGTAAACTAGTAAATTGAATATATTTCTTAAAGGTTTTGTTCTGTGGTGGGGAGGGACAGGGGACTTCCCTGGCCAAGAGTCCTTGCTAACAGGGCAGCCCCTAGAGGAGATAAGGGATCAGCAAGGGGAGGGAGCAAGCCAAGAAGTTGGTCAGGGGAATCTGGCAGCTCTCTGACTCACAAGGAACCATGTACTTCTTTATTTATACAAGTTTCACAGAACAAAGACGTACTAATGATTATCCAAGTGATACAGGGTATGTGTTTGATTTTTCATTACATGTCCAGGGTTACAGGTTCAGTTACAATTAGAGAATACAAAGAGAACAGATTTTATTATTATTATTATTATTAGCCCTATACCTCCAATTTAAAGAATCTAAAAAATATTTTCTCCAAAGCAAACACATTTACATTTAGCCTGGCAGTGTTTATAGTTTGAGAGCACTCCAGACAAATAGAAAATATATGAACCAGTCTTTTTATGAATAGCAAATACTAATACCTAACTTCTTTTACTATATGTTCCGTCAGCTATACTATAAAATAGAAAAAGTTTATTTCAGTCAATCTGTCTTATTTACCAAGTTTAATTCCTTCAGGAATGTACGCTATATGACCCCCCTCCCCATCTTTAAACTATATTTTCAGAGAGCTCTAAGCCTTGAATCTGTAACCTATTCTCCTGGCCAGTCAAGGTTTGTCAATTGTTTCTGTTTACTCTGCACCAATTATACTGTTTGAGTTTGCTCAGGGGCAGATGCCCCAGGAAGATTCCTGGAGTATAGCCTCATCTATTATGCGTTTATCTGTGCTTAATAATCTCCAGGGCATAAGGAAGACTTCCAAAGAGTGTCCAGATAAAGTTAATTTTAGGATTTTTGTAAAAAGACTCAGACATAATTTTCTCAGGAAAAACATCTAATGAATCATAAAGTCCCTAAGAATGTAACATGCAGAGACCAAAACCTAAAAGTTAGAGACAGAATGACAGTGATTGCAGCAATATGCTCAATCACTGTGCTGGAACTGTGTCAAGCAGCTATGCTGGCTTCATGATGCTCATAGTTCCCAGTGGATATGGCTATGACAGTTTTGTTTTGTTTCCTAATATGTGTGTGCACCTCATGCACGCCTCATACCCATAGAGGCCATAATAGGGCACCGGATCTCCTGGAGCTAATGTTAGGGGTAATTGTGGGCCATCCTACACGGGTGCTGGGAACCAAACCCTGGTTCTCTGTAAGAGCTGCAAGTATTCTTAAATACTTTCCAGCTCCGTATATGTTGTTTTAAGTCACTTGTTTGGTATTTTATTACATCAAAACAGCTAATGCAGTCTAACAAAACTTAATTGTGATTTCAAGTAAAACCAATTCTTAAAAATAAGCAGTGTCTATTGATAACAGCCAGCTAATTAGGAATTTACTATATGATAAACTTTTGCTGAACTTTTACATTAATTCTTTTACTTAAGCTTTAAAAAGTAAAATTGTAGGCCTGGAGAGATGGCTCAGTAATTAAGAGCTCTGGCTGCTCTTCCAGAGGACCTGAGGTCAATTCTCAACAACCACATGGTAGCTCACACCATCTGTAATGATTTCTGATTCCCTCTTCTGGTGTGCATAAAGACAGAACACTCATATACATTGAATAAATAAGTCTTTAAAAAGTAAATTGTAAATTAGGCCAGTGCTACAACATATATAAATCCCAGGACTTAGGAGGATGAAGAAGGAGGAGCTGGAGTTCCAGGTGGGCCTTGACACATAATGAGATGTCTCAAGCCTACCCACCTAAAAATATCATGATTAAAAAAAAAAAAAAAAAAAAAGAACTGATCTGCTCATGTCACAAAGCAGTAAGGCTCAATTTAAAAGTTA